AAGCAATGTCTTCTTTTTAGACAGTTGAAGAAACATCTGTAGGGAATGCAGACGTGGCATTCTTGAAGGTATTACAGTCCCGGAAGAAAAACAACCAGAACACAGCTAATCATCGAGCCCAAGAAAGCCTCCTCAAAAAAAAGTGGCATCAACCTCTCATGCTTCATAAATGAGCCGCAAGACTTCAATGATAAGTGATGTGATTAGTGCACTAAATTATAATTGCCTTTGTTTTCAGAAGGAAATCTAGAAAATGTACAATCAACATTACTACCATTCGTTAAACTGCTTTTTTGAAATGTACAAGATAGAGACAATCCCTGGGGTTATTTGAAAGACAATATAAAGACCCTCCCCCCCCTTAAACCTGAATCCAATTATCTGACTTATGAAAATAAATTGAGGAACTCAATTTTCTAGAAATTTTTTAGATGTAGAAATTCAAGAAAAAATTGATGAGGTCAAAAAGAAAGAAACAATTGCCATGCTTATGCAGTCTAGACTTTTAGGCCCCAAATTTAAATGCCAGAATCTTTCAAAAGAAATCAGAGCCTGCTCAGCCACAGGAGAACAGCCTACCAGAGAGTCAGAGTGTAGGTAAGAGGCTACGGAATGTAGTCATCAAGGGGCCGAAGGACATCCGGAAGAGGCAACTAAAAAAATGAGAGATCAGAGAAACCAGAAGAAAGAGAGTGCCCAGCCTCCTGTGAGGAGCGTGGCCACAGAAGTAAGGCTCAGGAGGTCCCACCCAGGGGAACCACAACAGCTGCACATGGCGTGGAGGCCTAAGAACCTAGTGGGAAACTCCTTCCACGTGGAACAGTCCTTCCCAAAGGACCAGAAGGTCCCAGTCTCTGTGAGCTTGAAACATCCCTTGAGGTGTGGGCCTTCTGCCTCCAACATGCCCATTCCATACCAGACATTAAAAAGAAACCAAAAGATTTAACTTATACCATGTATGTATTAGAACATGCAAACGCTAGAGTTAGGAATATGAAGTCTCCTAAAGAAATCAAAGAAAGTCACTACTTTCATGAAACGCAC